GTTAGCATAACCCATGCCCGGGCCCCTGAGATGCGATATGCTCACCGTCGTCATCCCGACTCGCTGCACGCCTTGCCCGGGGAAGAAGATGGCAGTCTTCGGATGCTTACGAGGTGCTGTGGACTGCCATCGCGCGTCCGCCGAAGTATACGCAGTGGTTCGCAAGGTCGCTGGCAGCGCCAATAGAGACGATATGCCCGACTGCTTCAAGGGCAACTGTCCTTTGATCGTGATGCCGAGAGCTGCCATGATGTGATGATCCACGCATTAACTGGCAAGACGTGATTGAGCCTGCAAGCAGGTAATCAGCTATTATATAGGTCTCGAAGGCTGCGTGGTTTCAATCGAGTCCATAGCGCCCCGCGGCAACCCATATGGAGCTGGGCGGCCATACCCGTCAACCGAGGCATTCACGAACGGTGACTTCACTCCATACATGTACGTGAAGCATGGATTATAAGCTGTCCCAAGTTCCTACCTTACATATACCTCCACCTCGTACGATACATAGGCCATCGGAACCCATCCTAGATACAGCATCGTATCCTGGACAGGCTTAACACTGCGGTCTGGCGCCCTCACGATTCGGCGAAAAGCAACGCCTGTTCGCGCTTAAGTGAGAGTCTGGTTCGTCTAGCGTCTGTCTTATCACACCCTCTGGAAATGGTACGACGTCGACTACGTTCAATTCGAGGAGAAGCACAAGCGTGACCTGGTGTCTGCCGGTGAATGTCCGCTTGGTCGATTTCGTAGGCTTGTCGTGAGGTGAAGAAGCTGCCAAAATAGTGGAAAGGTGGCGACGAGACGTTGCGGCAGGTGTGAGGGTGGTAGGCTTGCTTGACGCGAAGCGTGGTGGTCGGCTGTGAGTCAGTCCTCAGGCCTCCGGCGCGAGCATGGCGACGACTGGAAGGAGTACGTTACCGCGAATACTGCAAAATGTCGTACGGGAGTCAGGAAATGCAACGGAGCAACTGAGACCAGACCGGGAACAGTGTCAGATGCACCTGCTACGAGTCGAACGGGTTTCCAGGTATGCCCGCTCCCTGCTACAGGCATGACTCACTCCAGTTATAGCGTTGACTCTGCACGCCTGAAAGGGTCGCCGGTACCTCACCGGCGCGCTATTGCTGCCAACAAGATGATTGTCTGGACAGGTTGACGGTACAGCCCTGTGGTGTAGTGGTAACATACTCGCTTAGGGCGCGCCTTACATGTGAGTGATCCTGCGTTCGAACCGCAGCCGGGCCCCCAATCGTTTTGCTCCTTGTAAGATCTGCATGCCCTTCAACGCTTTTGCGAAATATGACATGAGAGGTTGCCTCAGGAAGCTGCGGAATGGACGACGTGGCGTGGAGTCCGTGGGACACGACGAGGATGATGTGCTGGTGTGGTACTCGTTCTTTTGGAGACCGCAGGCTCATGCGAGACCCGCGGCTGTTATGGCGTATCCTTGAACGCTCCAGCTGCTTGCAACTCCATGGTTCTGCATCATCTTCTCCTAGAAAAGACGTCTACGAGTCCTCCACCACCGCGGTCTGCAGCCCCTTGGGGTTCTTGACGTTCACCGCTTGCACGTAGCTGTACAGCTTCTCCTTGGCGCCCTCCTCGTCGTTACGCTTGCGGGATATCCGGACGCGAAGGCGGTATGGCACACCCTTGATACCGGACTCCCAGACCTTCTTGTTGAGCTGCGGGTCGAGGCGGACGTCGGAGGTGCCCTGATAGTATGGCAGGTCAGCGCATGCTTCACAGAGATAAAGCGGTATGGTGGGTAGATAAGGGTAGATAGCGACATACCATAGCCTTAGCAGCGAATGTCCTGATGGCCTTGATGGCCCTCGGGGCCCGCTTCTTGAACGACACGCCGTGAACCTTCCGGGTATGTTAGATATCTCGTGCTCTTGTCTTCAGTCTTCCGTCCGATGCCCCATCACTCCCCTCGCGAAGAGTGGTGGGGCCATCCGTGGACTTCATCAAACTGAACGTACATGCTTGTGTAGGTGGATGGTGTATTCGCGCGCGACCACGTCCTCGATGGCGCTGCGGCCTTGACCCGACTTGCCGGCGGCAGGCTTGTTGGACTTGGTCTGTTTCGACATCGTGGTTCGTGGGTGAGGGGTAGGTGAGGAGGTCTGGGTGGTGTCGTCGTCGTCGGTGGTTCTCAGTCGCATTGCTTGAATTTGCGGGTTCGCGAATTCGTGGTGTGGAGCGGAATGACGCCGCTCCAAGCTAAGCCGCTTTAGGAAGCAGCGCGCTGTTGACGCCAAACGTGAGATCATGGCAACGATGTTAATGAGTCGCATCACATCGTATTCACTTCCACCCACTCTTATGGACACCAGCCGATGACACTACTGCTCAGATGCGTCGCGCAGTCATCCAGAACTTGCGCACCTTCCGGCGACCCACACCTCGCAAGGCGCTCAAGCAACTCCGGATCAACAGCCCCTACAATGCCCCCTTCCAGCGCTCGATAACGAACCGGTCTCCACAATCACAATTGCAGTCGTCCATGCGCTTCGCTCGACGTGTTTCCACACCCATAGCATTAGCCGGAGTCGGAGCGGCAGCGTACTATGTGTACCAGCAACAGAGCACTCCGGCTAGCACCGCGGATGCCGTACCGACAGTCACGGGCACGGCGGTAGGAGCGAGCAGAGGATACAGTACCGGTACGAGTCCGCAAGCGCATGCCACACCTTCGAACCAACCCGCGGACATACTGGGGTCCAGCGCAGTGCCCGAAGCGGTGCGGAGAGCGCTTATTGTCGACCAAGGGCAGCTGTATACCGCGCAGATCCCGGCAGACCAGCCGATTAGCAAGGAGACAGATTCCTCGGGACGGAAGGTTCTGGAGATGCTCACCCCGGCGCAAACTAACGCCAAGCTACGGAGAAACGAAGAGAGCTACCTGGTGGGCAGGGGCGAGGGTGTGGTACGCTACGATGTTGTCCAAATACCCAGCAACGACCCGATAGAAGACGATCACGTGGAGAAGATAGTGGAGGTGCCGGACACAATCGCGGCCGCCGACGCAGGAAAGGCGCGGTCCGACTGGATGTTCTGGGGTGTGTTTGACGGACACGCTGGCTGGACGACGTCTGCCAAGCTACGGCAAACGCTTGTGTCGTACGTGGCGCGGGAGTTGAATGCGACGTATAAATCCGCGCTCCAGGACCCGGCTTTGACATTTCCGACACCGGCATCGGTGGACGCTGCGATCAAGAAGGGCTTCGTGACCCTCGACAACGAGATCACGCACGACTCCGTGCAGAAGGTGCTCAAATCACAGTCCAGGGTCGTAGCAGCGGAGATTCTGGGCCCTGCGCTTTCTGGCTCTTGCGCTCTGCTCAGTTTCTACGACAGCCGGTCCAAGGAGCTGCGCGTGGCGTGTACGGGCGACTCTCGTGCTGTGCTTGGCCGGCGGACTGGGAACGGCAAATGGATCGCCACCGCGCTATCTCTGGACCAAACGGGGGGTACAGAGTCTGAAGATGCGCGGCTGAGGAAAGAGCATCCCAATGAGCCTCACGTGACCATGAATGGTCGTATCCTCGGCAGTCTGGAGCCGAGTCGAGCGTTCGGCGACGCCGTCTACAAGTGGACAAAGGAGACGCAGGACAAGCTGAAGGCGTCTTACTTTGGCCGCACACCCTCCAAGTATCTCAAGACGCCACCGTATGTGACTGCGGAGCCGGTCGTCACGACTACGAAAGTCGATCCAACAAAAGGCGACTTCGTGGTCATGGCAACAGATGGCCTGTGGGAAATGCTCACCAACGAGGAAGTAGTCGGCCTAGTCGGCCAATGGCTAGAAAAGCAAGCCTCCACC